CTACTATAACTCAACCCATAGTCTACTATAACTCAACCCATAGTCTACTATAACTCAACCCATAGTCTACTATAACCAACCCATAGTCTACTATAACCAACCCATAGTCTACTATAACTCAACCCATAGTCTACTATAACTCAGCCCTGTCTACTATAACTCAACCCATAGTCTACTATAACTCAACCCATAGTCTACTATAACTCAAACCACCATAGTCTACTATAACCAACCCATAGTCTACTATAACCAACCCATAGTCTACTATAACTCAACCCATAGTCTACTATAACTCAACCCATAGTCTACTGATAACTCAACCCATAGTCTACTATAACTCAACCCATAGTCTACTATAACTCAACCCATAGTCTACTATAACCAACCCAAGTCTACTATAACTCAACCCATAGTCTACTATAACTCAACCCATAGTCTACTATAACCAAACCCATAGTCTACTATAACTCAACCCATAGTCTACTATAACCAACCCATAGTCTACTATAACTCAAACCCATAGTCTACTATAACTCAAACCCATAGTCTACTATAACCAACCCATAGTCTACTATAACTCAACCCATAGTCTACTATAACCAACCCATAGTCTACTATAACCAACCCATAGTTCTACATAACTCAACCCATAGTCTACTATAACTCAAACCCATAGTCTACTATAACTCAACCCATAGTCTACTATAACTCAACCCATAGTCTACTATAACTCAACCCATAGTCTACTATAACTCAACCCATAGTCTACTATAACTCAACCCATAGTCTACTATAACTCAACCCATAGTCTACTATAACTCAACCCATAGTCTACTATAACTCAACCCATAGTCTACTATAACCAACCCATAGTCTACTATAACTCAACCCATAGTCTACTATAACTCAACCCCATAGTCTACTATAACTCAACCCATAGTCTTACTATAACCAACCCATAGTCTACTATAACCACCCATAGTCTACTATAACAACCCATCGTCTACTAGAACTCAACCCATAGTCTACTATAACTCAACCTATAGTCTACTATAAATCAACCCATAGTCTACTATACCAACCCATAGTCTACTATAACTCAACCTATAGTCTAGTATAACTCAACCCATAGTCTACTATAACCAACCCATAGTCTACTATAACCAACCCATAGTCTACTATAACTCAACCCATAGTCTAGTATAACCAACCCATAGTCTACTATAACCAACCCATAGTCTACTATAAACTCAACCCATAGTCTAGTATAACTCAACCCATAGTCTACTATAACTCAACCCATAGTCTACTATAACTCAACCCATAGTCTACTATTAACTCAACCCATAGTCTACTATAACTCAACCCATAGTCTACTATAACTCAACCCATAGTCTACTATAACCAACCCATAGTCTACTATAACTCAACCCATAGTCTTACTATAACTCAACCCATAGTCTACTATAACCAACCATAGTCTACTATAACTCAACCCATAGTCTACTATAACTCAACCATAGTCTACTATAACTCAACCCATAGTCTACTATAACCAACCCATAGTCCTACTATAACTCAACCCATAGTCTACTATAACCAACCCATAGTCTACTATAAACCAACCCATTAGTCTACTATAACTCAACCCATAGTCTACTATAACCAACCCATAGTCTACTATAACTCAACCCATAGTCTACTATAACCAACCCATAGTCTACTATAACCAACCCATAGTCTACTATAACTCAACCCATAGTCTACTATAACTCAACCCATAGTCTACTATAACTCAACCCATAGTCTACTATAACTCAACCCATAGTCTACTATAACTCAACCCATAGTCTACTATAACCAACCCATAGTCTACTATAACTCAACCCATAGTCTACTATAACCAACCCATAGTCTACTAGAACTCAACCCATAGTCTACTATAACCAACCCATAGTCTACTATAACTCAACCTATAGTCTAGTATAACTCAACCCATAGTCTACTATAACCAACCCATAGTCTACTATAACTCAACCTATAGTCTACTATAACTCAACCCATAGTCTACTATAACCAACCCATAGTCTACTATAACTCAACCTATAGTCTACTATAACTCAACCCATAGTCTACTATAACCAACCCATAGTCTACTATAACTCAACCCATAGTCTACTATAACTCAACCCATAGTCTACTATAACTCAACCCATAGTCTACTATAACCAACCCATAGTCTACTATAACTCAACCCATAGTCTACTATAACCAACCCATAGTCTACTATAACTCAACCCATAGTCTACTATAACCAACCCATAGTCTACTATAACTCAACCCATAGTCTACTATAACTCAACCCATAGTCTACTATAACTCAACCCATAGTCTACTATAACTCAACCCATAGTCTACTATAACCAACCCATAGTCTACTTTAACTCAACCCATAGTCTACTATAACCAACCCATAGTCTACTATAACCAACCCATAGTCTACTATAACCAACCCATAGTCTACTATAACCAACCCATAGTCTACTATAACCAACCCATAGTCTACTATAAATCAACCCATAGTCTACTATAACTCAACCTATAGTCTAGTATAACTCAACCCATAGTCTACTATAACTCAACCCATAGTCTACTATAACTCAACCCATAGTCTACTATAACTCAACCCATAGTCTACTATAACCAACCCATAGTCTACTATAACTCAACCCATAGTCTACTATAACTCAACCCATAGTCTACTATAACCAACCCATAGTCTACTATAACTCAACCCATAGTCTACTATAACTCAACCCATAGTCTACTATAACTCAACCCATAGTCTACTATAACTCAACCCATAGTCTACTATAACCAACCCCATAGTCTACTATAAACCAACCCATAGTCTACTATAACTCAACCCATAGTCTACTATAACCAACCCCATAGTCTACTATAACTCAACCCATAGTCTACTATAACTCAAACCCATAGTCTTACTATAACTCAAACCTATAGTCTAGTATAACTCAACCCACTAGTCTACTATAAACTCAACCCATAGTCTACTATAACTCAACCCATAGTCTACTATAACTCAACCCATAGTCTACTATAACTCACCCATAGTCTACTATAACTCAACCCATAGTCTACTATAACTCAACCCATAGTCTAGTATAACCAACCCATAGTCTACTATAACTCAAACCCATAGTCTACTATAACCAACCCATAGTCTACTATAACTCAACCCATAGTCTAGTATAACTCAACCTAAGCATTGCGGTTTGGGATAGCTTTCTAAAATGATGATGTGGCCTAGCTATCAATGTAATATTTTAGCTACAGTAAGCCTCTTTCTAAACCAGGATTTCAGGAGAATTTTGTCATTTTTCTGAGATTTTGCTAATAGTTCATTTTCCTTTTCAACAGGTCCAATATTTCTTCAAGATTTTGGATGGATGAAGTCTTTTTGTTTTTACACAAATACTAATATGCACATTCCATTTCTATGAGTATGTATTTAAATAAAAGACATTTGACCACAGGATAATTTCTCCATTTATTTGTCTTTAGGTCTTACCCAGATGAAATAAAATGACAAGAGCAGGTGGACTCCTGACAAGTGTTCTGATGTTCAACATTAATCACTTTTACACCAACAAAACATCCTATTACACGGGGTTTTTACTGCATTGCTTCTGATATTCTAACTTTTGACCAGCGACTTTGGCATTGGATTCATACATTACACTTTTCCTGCGAAAAAAATTGTACAACTGCATAAATATAAAATTCTTCCACCATGAAAATGGCTAAAACATTCATTAGAAAGGTACACCACGTAATGTGACGTCTCCAGCAAAAAAAATAGTTTGTTTTAAAAGCACTGAGTTGCTGTCAGTGTTTCCATGAAGGAGGAAGGCAGCTAGTCTCCCCTGCCTGCCGCTGGACACAGAGCACAGCTAGCTCTAGACTACAGAGAGAGGAGGACGAGAAGCATCAAACAGAAATGTCATTAAACCCTCTGTCCCACATTTAAAGGTGATCCAAAAAGAAAAAAAAGTGATGTAGAAATATTCTCCCACAATCAACTGAAAAAGACAAAAAGAAGGAAAAGCATTCCAGGGAGTGCAGCCATTTACTGACAGACCTAGAGAGAGATCAGAGCATACCATTGCCAGTATTTTCAGTTGGTAAGAGTACATTAACACACATCCACACACTCACATTAACACACAAACACTTACACACACACACACACACACCTTGGACCACTAAAGCTTACTGACATAAGACAACGGAAATTACAAACATGGCTTGGAAAGGACCGCTATGCCGCTACTGCACTGGACATTCCAAAAATATCTAGAAAACCACATTAGGCAGAATACTTAGGGGACACACTGAAACACCGCTCGCTACATCTCAGTAGTGGAATTGCTATTTACAGTAATAGATGAACATGTCCCCATGGCTCAAGGACTATTCTCATTTACAGTAGAATAAATATGTTGCTATTGCTACTATTCCTGTCATTTACATTCTAACCCTAGACATGATGCAGAAAAGCCAGTGTAATGTACATTCTAACCCTAGACATGATGCAGAAAGCCAGTGTAATGTACATTCTAACCCTAGACATGATGCAGAAAGCCAGTGTAATGTACATTCTAACCCTAGACATGATGCAGAAAGCCAGTGTAATGTACATTCTAACCCTAGACATGATGCAGAAAGCCAGTGTAATGTACATTCTAACCCTAGACATGATGCAGAAAGCCAGTGTAATGTACATTCTAACCCTAGACATGATGCAGAAAGCCAGTGTAATGTACACAGATTAAGTGTAGGTCCCGTATATTATGAAAGTTTGTTCCAAGACTAGTCGTGTTTTGTATTGAACTATTTTTTTTTCTCTCTCTCTCTAAATCAGCTTGTTTTTTTTAATGTGGGAAGATAACAGTGCTGTTTTTTCATAGCTGAGGTCATGAATTGGCGATAGTGAACTTAACGTCAAAGCGTCCTTGGTAGCGATCTTTCTCGCTGTAGTCGATGTTGGCTCCGTATACTTTGCACTCGAGACGCAGCTCCTGGTTGAAGGTGAGGTTGGTGAACTGGATGGCCACCAGGGGCTGCAGGTACTGGGGGTGCAGCAGCTTGCCATAGTAGGGGTAGTATTGGAGGGGGAATCCCAGGCCCATGCCATAGTACTTGATCTCACCAATCTTGCTAGCGTCCTCCTCTCTCTGTAGAGAGAATGACAGGATGACATCACAGTTAGTAGGCTGCCATAACAGAACAGTGTTGGATCTTTTTCCTAAGGTACCAACTAGTTCTATATTACGACTGAATATAGCCTAAATCTAGTAGGACTAAAAACCACATACAGCGACCAAGCATAGCATTATCCCTGACAGCATGTTGCAAGGTATCTACAGGTTCATGGTATTGCTGCATCGGAAATGGCACCCTATTCCCTACATAGTGCACTACTTTTGACCAGATCCCTATTGGCCCTGGTCAAAGGTAGTGCACTATATAGGGAAAAGGGTGCCATTTTGGATGCAGTCTATATGTTCACAATATGCTTCCCAGTGCCATGTGAGGCGTACCTTGTTCTGACAGTGGATGGGGACGACGTTGGGCTGGACTCTGATCTGGCCGGCTTCAGGGACGGAGGCATTGTTGGTTGGAGGCTGAAACAAAACCCAGACCAATAAGCATTATCACCTTAACCTAATCCAGACAGACCAATACGCATTATCACCTTAACCTAACCCAGACAGATCAATAAGCATTATCCCCTTAACCTGACCCAGACAGATCAATAAACATTATCACCTTAACCTAATCCAGACAGACCAATACGCATTATCACCTTAACCTAACCCAGACAGATCAATAAGCATTATCCCCTTAACCTGACCCAGACAGATCAATAAACATTATCCCCTTAACCTAACCCAGACAGATCAATAAGCATTATCCCCTTAACCTGACCCAGACAGATCAATAAGCATTATCCCCTTAACCTGACCCAGACAGATCAATAAGCATTATCCCCTTAACCTGACCCAGACAGATCAATAAGCATTATCCCCTTAACCTGACCCAGACAGACCAATAAGCATTATCCCCTTAACCTGACCCAGACAGATCAATAAGCATTATCACCTTAACCTGACCCAGACAGATCAATAAGCATTATCCCCTTAACCTGACCCAGACAAACCAATAAGCATCTTAACCTGACCCAGACAGATCAATAAGCATTATCACCTTAACCTGACCCAGACAGATCAATAAGCATTATCCCCTTAACCTGACCCAGACAGATCAATAAGCATTAACCCCTTAACCTGACCCAGACAGATCAATAAGCATTATCACCTTAACCTAACCCAGACAGACCAATAAGCATTATCCCCTTAACCTGACCCAGACAGATCAATAAGCATTATCCCCTTAACCTAACCCAGACATACCAATAAGCATTATCCCCTTAACCTAACCCAGACCAATAAGCATTATCCCCTTAACCTGACCCAGACAGATCAATAAGCATTATCCCCTTAACCTGACCCAGACAGACCAATAAGCATTATCCCCTTACCCTGACCCAGACAGACCAATAAGCATTATCCCCTTAACCTGACCCAGACAGATCAATAAGCATTATCACCTTAACCTAACCCAGACATACCAATAAGCATTATACCCTTATCCTAACCCAGACCAATAAGCATTATCCCCTTAACCTAACCCAGACCAATAAGCATTATCGCCTTAACCTAACCCAGACAGACCAATAAGCATTATCCCCTTAACCTAACCCAGACATACCAATAAGCATTATCCCCTTAACCTGACCCAGACAGACCAATAAGCATTATCCCCTTAACCTGACCCAGACCAATAAGCATTATCCCCTTAACCTGACCCAGACAGACCAATAAGCATTATCCCCTTAACCTGACCCAGACAGACCAATAAGCATTATCCCCTTAACCTGACCCAGCCAGATCAATAAGCATTATCCCCTTAACCTAACCCAGACCAATAAGCATTATCCCCTTAACCTGACCCAGACAGACCAATAAGCATTATCCCCTTAACCTGACCCAGACCAATAAGCATTATCCCCTTAACCTAACCCAGACATACCAATAAGCATTATCCCCTTAACCTAACCCAGACCAATAAGCATTATCCCCTTAACCTGACCCAGACAGATCAATAAGCATTATCCCCTTAACCTGACCCAGACAGACCAATAAGCATTATCCCCTTACCCTGACCCAGACAGACCAATAAGCATTATCCCCTTAACCTGACCCAGACAGATCAATAAGCATTATAACCTTAACCTAACCCAGACATCCCAATAAGCATTATCCCCTTATCCTAACCCAGACCAATAAGCATTATCCCCTTAACCTAACCCAGACCAATAAGCATTATCGCCTTAACCTAACCCAGACAGACCAATAAGCATTATCCCCTTAACCTAACCCAGACATACCAATAAGCATTATCCCCTTAACCTGACCCAGACCAATAAGCATTATCCCCTTAACCTGACCCAGACAGACCAATAAGCATTATCCCCTTAACCTGACCCAGACCAATAAGCATTATCCCCTTAACCTGACCCAGACAGACCAATAAGCATTATCCCCTTAACCTGACCCAGACAGACCAATAAGCATTATCCCCTTAACCTGACCCAGCCAGATCAATAAGCATTATCCCCTTAACCTAACCCAGACCAATAAGCATTATCCCCTTAACCTGACCCAGACAGACCAATAAGCATTATCCCCTTAACCTGACCCAGACCAATAAGCATTATCCCCTTAACCTGACCCAGACAGACCAATAAGCATTATCCCCTTAACCTGACCCAGACAGACCAATAAGCATTATCCCCTTAACCTGACCCAGACCAATAAGCATTATCCCCTTAACCTGACCCAGACAGACCAATAAGCATTATCCCCTTAACCTGACCCAGACAGACCAATAAGCATTATCCCCTTAACCTGACCCAGACAGACCAATAAGCACTGTTGTTGTCATTATCAGGTTATCATCCTGAAACTGTTTCTCTGAAGTGGCCCTCAGTGGTAACATCTATCACCACACAGTCAAAACTACAGAAAGTAGAATCATGGAGAAACTTCACTACCTCTCAGGTCTGGGGGGTCTTGAATACAGGCTATGTTTCAGGTCTGGGGGGTCTTGAATATAGGCTATGTTTCAGGTCTGGGGGGTCTTGAATACAGGCTATGTTTCAGGTCTGGGGGGTCTTGAATATAGGCTATGTTTCAGGTCTGGGGGGTCTTGAATACAGGCTATGTTTCAGGTCTGGAGGGGTCTTCAATATAGGCTATGTTTCAGGTTTGGGGGGTCTTGAATACAGGCTATGTTTCAGGTCTGGAGGGGTCTTGAATACAGGCTATGTTTCAGGTCTGGGGGGTCTTGAATATAGGCTATGTTTCAGGTCTGGGGGGTCTTGAATATAGGCTATGTTTCAGGTCTGGGGGGTCTTGAATATAGGCTATGTTTCAGGTCTGGGGGGTCTTGAATATAGGCTATGTTTCAGGTCTGGGGGGTCTTGAATATAGGCTATGTTTCAGGTCTGGGGGGTCTTGAATATAGGCTATGTTTCAGGTCTGGGGGGTCTTGAATATAGGCTATGTTCTGGAACATAAGATACCATAAGATCACAGGATGGTTTCAGTTCAGTATACATGGGGGCTAAAAGCTGAATTGTGTCTACCACAGGAAATGGAAGAAAACTAAAATAAATCAATAAATGTAATACAGTTAGCTAATCAATGCTAATCGATGTTCTGTAGCTCAGCTGGTAGAGCACGGCGTTTGTAACGCCAAGGTAGTGGGTTCGATCCCCGGGACCACCCATACACACAAAAAAAAAAAAAGATGTATGCACACATGACTGTAAGTCGCTTTGGATAAAAGCGTCTGCTAAATGGCATATTATTATTATTATTATTATTATTATTATTAATCTCCCGTGAGCAGATTCTGCGTGTAGACCGAAGAATCTGTCGGGACTGAATGGGATGCTTGATGTTAAAACAGCAGTATTTCAGCTGGGGGGTTTCCGTCACTGGTTATTTAGACATATCAGGATTGGGCGAAGGGGGAGGGGGGGCTTGGCGTGTGCCCACGCGGATCGGAAGGGGGAGGGGGGGCTTGGCGTGTGCCCACGCGGATCGGAAGGGGGAGGGGGGGCTTGGCGTGTGCCCACGCGGATCGGAAGGGAGAGGGGGGGCTTGGCGTGTGCCCACGCGGATCGGAAGGGGGAGGGGGGGCTTGGCGTGTGCCCACGCGGATCGGAAGGGGGAGGGGGGGCTTGGCGTGTGCCCACGCGGATCGGAAGGGGGAGGGGGGGCTTGGCGTGTGCCCACGCGGATCGGAAGGGGGAGGGGGGGCTTGGCGTGTGCCCACATGAATCGGAAGGGGGAGGGGGGGCTTGGCGTGTGCCCACGCGAATCGGAAGGGGGAGGGGGGGCTTTGGCGTGTGCCCACGCGGATCGGAAGGGGGAGGGGGGGCTTGGCGTGTGCCCACGCGGATCGGAAGGGGGAGGGGGGGCTTGGCGTGTGCCCACGCGGATCGGAAGGGGGAGGGGGGGCTTGGCGTGTGCCCACATGAATCGGAAGGGGGAGGGGGGGCTTGGCGTGTGCCCACGCGAATCGGAAGGGGGAGGGGGGGCTTTGGCGTGTGCCCACGCGAATCGGAAGGGGGGGGGGGGGGGGGGGGGCTTTGGCGTGTGCCCACGCAAATCGGAAGGGGGATGGGGGGCTTTGGCGTGTGCCCACGCGAATCGGAAGTGGGAGGGGGGCTTTGGCGTGTGCCCACGCAAATCGGAAGGGGGAGGGGGGCTTTGGCGTGTGCCCACGCGAATCGGAAGGGGGAGGGGGGGCTTTGGCGTGTGCCCACGCGAATCGGAAGGGGAAGGGGAAGGGGGAGGGGGGGCTTTGGCTGAGAGTTTCCTTTCACGAGGGTAGAGACTTTGTTTTTGCTGGAACTCTCAATTTCGAACAGGTATAGACCCAGAAGTTAAATCACCAAATTACGCAAGATTTTACTTCTACGTTAACCGAGCTTAATCAATGCTATAAACTGGATTAGCGTGGGGCAGGTGTAGGTGTACATACCCTTGGTCTGAAGTTGACGATCCTGTTGAGCTTGGCGATCAGGCAGGGTTTCCCGTCCTTGAAGCCGAAGGTTTCATCCTGACCCTCCAGACCGGAGCAGGGTCCCAGCCAGGTCCGCTTGAACCTGCAGGCCTTCCTCACTCCAACGTCGCTCTCCAGCTCGCCACGGTCCTTGTACGTTTCAGGGAATTCTACAAGCACAGAGAGACACCTGTTAGCTCAGACACGTGAGCAGACGATATCCACCAGACACAGCATAGCTACACCCCAACAGGGTACCTTATTCCACCAGACACAGCATAGCTACACCCCAACAGGGTACCTTATTCCACCAGACACAGCATAGCTACACCCCAACAGGGTACCTTATTCCACCAGACACAGCATAGCTACACCCCAACAGGGTACCTTATTCCACCAGACACAGCATAGCTACACCCCAACAGGGTACCTTATTCCACCAGACACAGCATAGCTACACCCCAACAGGGTACCTTATTCCACCAGACACAGCATAGCTACACCCCAACAGGGTACCTTATTCCACCAGACACAGCATAGCTACACCCCAACAGGGTACCTTATTCCACCAGACACAGCATAGCTACACCCAACAGGGTACTTATTCACGACACAGCATCCTGACATGCCCACGCCATCCATACCCATTCATTACTATTTCTGACCTGAAACCCAAATGGCACCCTATTCCCGATTTAGTGCCCTGGTCAAAAGTAGTGCACTTTAAAGGGAATATAGTGCCTTTGGGACACAATGCAGGTATTGCTAGTCTGTACTAGTTCTATTCTGTACTAGGTATACTCTGTTACTAGTCGTACTAGTGTCTACTAGTCTGTACTAGGTCTACTAGTCTGTACTAGGGTCTACTAGTCTGTACTAGGGTCTACTAGTCTGTACTAGGGTCTACTAGTCTGTACTAGGGTCTACTAGTCTGTAGTAGGGTCTACTAGTCTGTACTAGGGTCTACTAGTCTGTACTAGGGTCTACTAGTCTGTACTAGGGTCTACTAGTCTGTACTAGGGTCTACTAGTCTGTAGTAGGGTCTACTAGTCTGTATAGGGTCTACTAGTCTGTATAGGGTCTACTAGTCTGTACTAGGGTCTACTAGTCTGTACTAGGGTCTACTAGTCTGTACTAGGGTCTACTAGTCTGTATAGGGTCTACTAGTCTGTATAGGGTCTACTAGTCTGTACTAGGGTCTACTAGTCTGTACTAGGGTCTACTAGTCTGTAGTAGGGTCTACTAGTCTGTACTAGGGTCTACTAGTCTGTATAGGGTCTACTAGTCTGTATAGTAGGGTCTACTAGTCTGTACTAGGGTCTATAGTCTGTACTAGGGTCTACTAGTCTGTACTAGGGTCTACTAGTCTGTAGTAGGGTCTACTAGTCTGTACTAGGGTCTATAGTCTGTACTAGGGTCTACTAGTCTGTACTAGGGTCTACTAGTCTGTAGTAGGGTCTACTAGTCTGTACTGGGTCTACTAGTCTGTACTAGGGTCTACTAGTCTGTAGTAGGGTCTACTAGTCTGTACTAGGGTCTACTAGTCTGTATAGGGTCTACTAGTCTGTACTAGGGTCTACTAGTCTGTAGTAGGGTCTACTAGTCTGTACTAGGGTCTACTAGTCTGTACTGGGTCTACTAGTCTGTACTAGGGTCTACTAGTCGTACTAGGGTTACTAGTCTGTACTAGGGTCTACTAGTCTGTACTAGGGTCTACTAGTCTGTAGTAGGGTCTACTAGTCTGTACTAGGGTCTACTAGTTGTACAGGTCCTAGTCTGTATAGGGTCTACTAGTCGTACTGGGGTTACTAGTCTGTACTAGGGTCATAGTCTGTAGTAGCGTCTACTAGTCTGTATAGGGTCTACTAGTCTGAGTAGGGTCTACTAGTCTGTATAGTGTCTACTAGTCTGTACTAGGGTCTACTAGTCTGTAGTAGGGTCTACTAGTCTGTACTAGGGTCTACTAGTCTGTACTAGGGTCTACTAGTCTGTACTAGGTTACTAGTCTGTACTAGGGTCTACTAGTCTGTACTAGGGTCTACTAGTCTGTACTAGGGTCTACTAGTCTGTAGTAGGGTCTACTAGTCTGTACTAGGGTCTACTAGTCTGTACTAGGTCTACTAGTCTGTAGTAGGGTCTCTAGTCTACTAGTCTGTTGTAGTCTACTAGTCTGTACTAGGGTCTACTAGCTACTGTACTAGGTCTACTAGTCTGTACTAGGGTCTACTAGTCTGTACTAGGGTCTACTAGTCTGTATAGGGTCTACTAGTCTGTACTAGGGTCTACTAGTCGTATAGGGTACTAGCTAGTCTGAGGGTCTGTCTGACTAGGGTCTACTAGTCTGTACTAGGGTCTACTAGTCGTACTAGGGTTACTGTGGTTAGTAGGGTCTACTAGTCTGTACTAGGGTCTACTAGTCGTACTAGGGTCTTATCTCTAGTCTGTACTAGGGTCTATATGACAGGGCTAAGTCTGTAGTAGGGTCTACTAGTCTGTACTAGGGTCTACGTCTGTATAGGTCTACTAGTCTGTACTAGGGTCTACTAGTCTGTACTAGGGTCTACTAGTCTGTACTAGGGTCTACTAGTCTGTACTAGGGTCTACTAGTCTGTACTAGGGTTACTAGTCTGTACTAGGGTCTACTAGTCTGTAGTAGGGTCTACTAGGGTCTACTAGTCTGTACTAGGGTCTACTAGTCTTGTAGGGTCTACTAGTCTGTAGTAGGGTCTACTAGTCTGTACTAGGGTCTCTAGTCTGTAGTAGGGTCTACTAGTCTGTATAGGGTCTACTAGTTCTACTAGGGTCTACTAGTTTAGGGTCTACTAGTCTGTATTAGGGTCTACTAGTCTGTACTAGGGTCTACTAGTCTGTAGTAGGGTCTACTAGTCTGTACTAGGGTCTCTAGTCTGTACTAGGGTCTACTAGTCTGTACTAGGGTCTATAGTCGTACTAGGGTCTACTAGTCTGTATAGGGTTCTATCTTGTACTAGGGTCTTACTAGTCTGTAAGGGTCTACTAGTCTGTACTAGGGTCTACTAGTCTGTACTAGGGTCTACTAGTCTGTACTAGGGTCTACTAGTCTGTACTAGGGTCTACTATGTACTAGGGTCTACTAGTCTGTATAGGGTCTACTAGTCTGTACTAGGGTCTACTAGTCTGTACTAGGTCTACTAGTCTGTAGTAGGGTCTACTAGTCTGTACTAGGGTCTACTAGTCTGAGTAGGGTCTACTAGTTACGTACTAGTCTGTACTAGTGGTAAGTCTTACTAGGTCTCTAGTCGTACTAGGGTCTACTAGTCTGTATAGGGTCTACTAGTCTGTACTAGTCTTACTAGTCTGTAGGGTCTACTAGTCTGTACTAGGGTCTACTAGTCTGTACTAGGGTTACTAGTCGTGTATGGGTCTATAGTCTGTACTAGGTCTACTAGTCTGTAATGGTCTACTAGTCTGTACTAGGGTCTACTAGTCTGTATAGGGTCTACTAGTCTGTATAGGGTCTACTAGTCTGTAGTAGGGTCTACTAGTCTGTTACTAGGGTCTAGTCTGTACTAGGGTCTACTAGTCTGTAGTAGGGTCTACTAGTCTGTAGTAGGGTCTACTAGTCTTACTAGGGTCTACTAGTCTGTACTAGGGTCTACTAGTCTGTATAGGGTTACTACTGCTAGTAGGTACTGCTGACTAGGGTCTACTAGTCTGTACGTAGGGTCTACTAGTCTGTACTAGGGTCTACTAGTCTGTACTAGGGTCTACTAGTCTTCTAGGGTCTACTAGTCTGTACTAGGGTCTACTAGTCTGTAGTAGGGTCTACTAGTCTGTATAGGGTCTACTAGTCTGTAGTAGGGTCTACTAGTCTGTACTAGGGTCTACTAGTTGTATAGGGTCTACTAGTCTGTTAGGGTCTACTAGTCGTACTAGGGTCTACTAGTCTGTACTAGGGTCTACTAGTCTGTATAGGGTCTACTAGTCTGTACTAGGGTCTACTAGTCTGTAGTAGGGTCTACTAGTCTGTAGTAGGGTCTAGTCTGTACTAGGGTCTACTAGTCTGTAGTAGGGTCTACTAGTCTGTATAGGGTCTACTAGTCTGTAGTAGGGTCTACTAGTCTGTACTAGGGTCTACTAGTCTGTACTAGGGTCTACTAGTCTGTACTAGGGTCTACTAGTCTGTACTAGGGTCTACTAGTCTGTACTAGGGTCTACTAGTCTGTACTAGGGTCTACTAGTCGGTACTAGGGTCTACTAGTCTGTACTAGGGTCTACTAGTCTGTAGTAGGGTCTACTTAGTCTGTACTAGGGTCTACTAGTCTGTACTAGGGTCTACTAGTCTGTACTAGGGTCTACTGTCCTGTAGTAGGGTCTACTAGTCTGTACTAGGGTCTACTAGTCTGTACTAGTGGTCTACTAGTCTGTACTAGTGTCTACTAGTCTGTACTAGGTCTACTAGTCTGTACTAGTGTCTACTAGTCTGTAGTAGGGTCTAACTAGTCTGTACTAGGGTCTACTAGTCTGTAGTAGGGTCTACTAGTCTGTAGTAGGGTCTACTAGTCTGTACTAGGGTCTACTAGTCTGTAGTAGGGTCTACTAGTCTGTACTAGGGTCTACTAGTCTGTAGTAGGTCTACTAGTCCTGTACTAGGGTCTACTAGTCTGTAGTAGGGGTCTACTAGTCTGTAATAGGGTCATAGTCTAGGTTCTAGTGAGTAGGGTCTAGTAGTCTGTACTAGGGGTCTACTAGTCTGTACTAGGGTCTACTAGTCTGTACTAGGGTCTACTAGTCTGTACTAGGGTCTACTAGTCTGTACTAGGGTCTACTGTCTGTACTAGGGGTCTAACTAGTCTGTACGAGGGTCTACTAGTCTGTACTAGGGTCTACTAGTCTGTAGTAGGGTCTACTAGTCTGTACTAGGGGTCTACTAGTCGTACTAGGGTCTACTAGTCTGAGTAGGGTCTACTAGTCTGTACGTAGGGTCTACTAGTCTGTACTAGGGTCTACTAGTCTGTACTAGGGTCTACTAGTCTGTACTAGGGTCTACTAGTACTGGTAGCGTATGGGCTCTACTATTCTGTACTAGGGTCTACTAGTCTGTACTAGGGTCTAACTAGTCTGTACTAGGGTCTACTAGTCTGTACTAGGGTCTACTAGTCCTGTACTAGGGTCTAACTAGTCTGTAG